AGCAAGGTCGGGGCAAGGTTCGAATAAGTGCTGAAGCTGAAGCAAGAAGTCTGCATGTGATTCCAGTACGGTGACAAAAGACAAGGTTACTGGGATGCGTGGACTTTACAGATTGAGGTCAAAGCCTGGTATCGCTATTGACCCTACCAGCTTTGAGGCCTATGCACCTTACCCTGGGATTTTGAGGGTAAAAGTAGATAGGTGCGTTTAGATGATGTCTTATTATACTGGCCTTTGAGATTGAGATAAATTCACCATTTACATTCACTGACTTTCTTTCTTTGGATCCTTATTGCTAAATTCCCCGCACTATTTCACAGCAGATTTTTCAGTGCTGGGAGGATTATTAAACATGTCTTTTACTCTCACCCTGACATTCTGAACTCTGAATACTTCGAATTATTGCTAACCTCCTGTGGCTTCATATTGAGATGCTTGACATAGTCCAATCATACATCATAGTCTTATTCTCAGTTAGTCTGTTACTGGTAGTATTGAAAAAGATTACATTCTACTTGGACTTTCATATTTTAATTTCTTTCTCTCTTTCACAGCAACCTCAAACTCCTGGGCTCAAGCAATCCCTCCTGCCTCAGCCTCCGGTAGCTGGAACTACAGCATGCGCCACCATGCCTGGGCTAATTTTTCTATATATATAGTTGCCAATTAATTTCTTCTATTATGGTAGAGACGGGGGTCTTGCTCTTCTCAGGCTGTTTCGAACTCTGACTCGAGCATCCGCCTGCCTCGGCTCCCAGAGTGCTAGGATTCAGGCGTGAGCCACCACGCCCGCCCTCTTTTCTTTTCTTTTTTTTTTTTTTTTGAGACAGGGTCTGCTATGTTGCTCAGGATGGTCTCAAACTCCTGGCATCAAGTGATCCTCCTACCCTGGCCTCCCTACGTGCTGGGATTACAGGTGTGAGCCATGCACCAGGCCTGACTTTTACACATTTGCTTGTATTTAATTTCGCTGCCCACTGACAATTGGTAGCCTCCTGTGATTTCTTAAACTGCCCACCATTAGAAAGATTGAATGAAATGGTGCCATTTGAGCTCACTGGAAAATTTATTTCATTGTTTTTTCTTTTCTTTTCTTTTTTTTTTTTTTTGAGACAGGGTCTTGCTATGTTGCTCAGGATGGTCTCAAACTCCTGGCATCAAGTGATCCTCCTACCCTGGCCTCCCTACGTGCTGGGATTACAGGTGTGAGCCATTGCACCAGGCCCTGACTTTATCACATTTTGCTCTGTATTTTAATTTCTGCTGCCACTGACAAATGGTAGCCTCTGTGAATTTCTTAAACTGCCACTTAGAGATTGAATGAAATGGATGCCATTTGGAGCTCACTGGAAAAATTTATTTCATTGTTCTATTGTTCTTTTGTGAGTCCCACTGGGATAGCTCCTACCCCATCCAATCTTCCTTATTTATTTATTTATTCTAACCTTGAATTGATGTACAGCATACAGACAGAAAAAAGTGTAATAAATTTTCACAAATCAAACCCACCCATATAAACAGCAGCACCCAGATTAAGAAGTAGAATGTTACCAACACCCCAGAAGCCCCTCTAGGACCCCTTAAGTTACAAAGTCTTTTAAGGGGGACTAGTATTATAACTTCTAACAGCATATATTAGTTTTGCTGCCTTCTAACCTTTTCTAAATGAAGCCACAGAGTGGGCACTCTTTTGTACCTGACTTCTTTCCCTCCACATTATTTTGTCATATTTATTCACGTTGTTGTCTGTGGCTATAGATCATTCAGGGTAGTTGCTGTACAGTATTATATTGTGGGAAAAGATTGTAGTTTCTTTATTCATTCTACAGTTGTTAGGCATTTAGACAATGTCCAGTTTGAGGCCACTACAAATAGTGCTGCTATGAACATTATCGTATGTGTCTTTTAATGAATATATACATCCATTTCTATTTGATGTATACCTGGGAGAGAAATTGCTTGGTCCACATAAATTTGAATTTTATTTGCATATTCTTTGAGCAATTATTACGAATATGTGTTTTAAAATATTCAAAAGTTATAAAAGAATGTACAATAAAAAATAGCCATCCCTCCTATCTCTGCCTACCAATGACTTAGAGTTCATTCCTCTTCAAGAGGTTTGTGGTTACCGGTTTGTTGTGAGATCACTTTTTTTTTTCTTTTCTGAAACTACCATTTTATCAGTTACAATTACAGCTTTATAACCACATCCTAATTGATTGAACTTCTGTTCTAATAATACTAATAAAGCACATGTGTACATTACTTTATAGTTTATAGTTTACTTCTGTATCTGCTCTCTCACTGTAGAGCCTTCCCCCAAACTGAGGAGGTGGGTACAGAGTTAAGACAACCAAGGCAACCATTTGACAGACGGGCTAACTGGGCCCCAGGTAAGTCAGTCCTTTGCCTAAGAACATGTTGGGTTTCAAGTGGCAGAGTTAGGAGTAAATCCGGATTTCTGCCTCTAAAACTGGGTATTATACCTGCATTAAGGAATCAAAGTTAATACTGACAGCAGTGGTATTAACTGCTGATGAAACCCCATCTCTACAAAAAATAGAAAAATTAGCCGGGGTGGGGTGTGCTCCTGTAGTCTCAGCTACTGGGGGTGGGGTGGGGAGGAAACACTTAGCATAGGATGTTTTGAGATTTCAGCGGGCTGTGATGATGCCCTGCAGCTCTAGAAACTGAAAGACCGGAGCCTCTGTTACCAGAGCATCTCACTCGGGCAGATCTGCAAAAGGACAGGATGATGAACTCCCATCCTTCTCAGAAAGCTGTGTGTGCCACGCTCTCTTCCGCCAGAATTTTAGTTCTATAAGATAATATTGTAGTTGTTTGTTTTTTTTTGAGGCAGAGATTCATCACTCTGTTGCCCAGCTAGAATGTCGTGGTGCATCAGCCTAGCTCACAAGCAACCTCAAAATCTACTGGGCTCATAGCTAATCTGATTGTCAGCCTCCCTAGTTCGCTGGACTATAGGCTAGCGCCACTATTGCCGGCTAAGGGTATTTGGTTTTGCATGTTCCCCAAAAGAAAAAAAAGATGACTCTGATGATGACTCGCTACTCAGCCCAATCCCCCTGTTTGTCCGTGCCTGAGGTCTAAGGTCGAAAGTATTCATTTCTCTCTTTAGTCCTTTCTCTGCCTGCAACCTCTTTCCTTTCTCCGGACCTCCATAAAAATGGTCCTGTTTATTGTCACAGAATTCGGGTTGCAATTTGGCCTGTCACATTTCCCCATGGGCGCGGGGGCTTGTGGGGTTGCCAAAGAAGGGCTTCTGTGTTGGTGAGAGGAGTAGTCATTTAAAATTCATTCCAGGGACTTTTGGGGTAGAACTGACCGCTTACCTGCCTGCCCTCGTTCTGAGAATGGTGGTGGGGCAGGCAGATAGAGAAGCTTCTCCAACACACACACACACACACACACACACAACACACACACACACACGTGGCTGAGCCTTCCAACATGACAGGCACTTCTTTTTTTTTATATTTATATATTATTATTTATATTATTATATTATTAATTATATATTTTTTTGAGACAGAGTCTCGTTTTGTTGCCCAGGCTAGAGTGAGTGCTATGGCGTCAGCCTACCTCACAGCAACCTCAAACTCCTGGCTCAAGCATCCTTCTGCCTCAGCCTCCCGAATAGCTGGAACAGCATGCAGCCACCGTGCCCGCTATTTTTTTTCATATATTATTGTTAGCCAATTAATTTCTTCTATTTATAGTAGAGACGGGTCCGCTCTTGCTCAGGCTGGTTTCAAACTCCTGACCTCCAGCAATCTGCCCGCCTCGCCTCCAGAGTGCTTAGGATACAGGTGGAGCCACTGCGCCTGGCCGTATGTATATTATTCTTTTTTTAAAAAAATATTATTCCTTTTCTTTTTTTTTTTTTTTTTTTCTACAGAGCCTGCTCAGTATATTTTTTCAATACCAGAAAGCCTGTCAGATCGGTGTTGTTTCTCTCCAATTAGGAAACTGAGGCTCAGAGAAGTTAAGCAATTTGCTACATTCACTTATCCAGTAAGTAGTGAAGCTGGAATACAGATAACATGAAAAAAAAAAAAGATATAGAAGGATTTAATATAAATTTTCCCTATCAACTGGACTTTTGTTTATATATTGTAATTCTTTGAGACTTAGATCATTATTTCAGGTAATCATTATTTTCAAAGAAAATGAAGTTGAAGTAGTAAAGCAAATAAAATAGAGTTGGGTAAAATGGTCTGGAGGAGAGGTAGCCAGGAGGGAGAAAGGGGCTTGCTGCCCTGCAAGAGTGCACAGCTCATTTTAGGGAACCCATAAAATGACCTGTGACCTGCATACCAGTGAGGCCGGGAAGGTGGAGGACTGAACTGTTTGCTTGGGCAATGGGTAGATCTCTACAAATTCTTCAGCAAGGGAGTGAATGCCAAGCTATTAGAGCTTTATAGGTAGAGGGAAGGATGGGGGGCTCCACTGGCAGAGAAGGAGAGGTGCCCAGGTAGAAGACATCTGCAGTAATGCCAGGGTGAAATGTCATGCACTGTAGGCAGAGAAATTTGAGAAGGAGGGCTAACCCCAAAGGCCATTTTAAAGAAAGATGTGTAAGAACTAATGACAGCTCAAATGCAAGGAGTAAAGAAAGGGGGAGAAGTCAATCATGGATTGTGGTTTCAAGTGTTCTGCTCCAGGAGGCTGTAATAATTAAGTCTCAGGGTTCTGCAAAAGTATACTTGTGGCTCACTTTATAATCCTAGCACTTTGGGAGGAGGAGGTGGGAGGATCACTTGAAGTGAGGAGTTTGAGACCAGCCTGAGCAAGAGTGAAACCCTGTCTCTACAAAAAACAGAAAAATTAGCAGGGTGTGGTGGTGTACACCTGTAATCTCAGCTACTTGAGGAGGCTGGGGCAGGAAGAGCACTGAGCCCATAGAATATTTGAAAGATTGCTCACTGGGCTATAATGATGCCACTGCACTCTAGACCAGGCAACAGAATGAGACTCTGTCTCAAAAAAAAAAAAAAAAAAAAAAAGTAGACTTGAAAGGGCCTTACTTGGCTGCTAGTGACTTCATAAAACCCTCCGTAAGGCCTTTCTCCATGCCTTCCTGAGCCTCATATCCTATCCCATAGAAGAGAGAGAGAGAGAGAGAAAGTGAGCGCACTTGCTGCCAGAATCAGATCTACCCTCCACACATTCAAAAAAGAGGGCTGGGTCCAAGGGTGCAGTGCTATGGCTACCCAAGGAGCCTGCTCTGCCCCTTCACCTTCTGTCTCTGCCTGGTATTTCTCCTCTCTGGTATCTATTTCTTCTGTCTCTTATCTGGTACATAGCTGGGTAATAATTTTGCATGCAAGTAGTAATACTCAAAGCCTCCAGACACTCAACACATCTTTCAATTTCCCATTCCCTTCTCATCAAGTTTGTCTTTGTATTGCTCCTGCTACCTCTTGTAGACCATGACTACCATCCATTTCAGCCATGCCTTTTCCCCACTCCACAGGGCAAATGTACCAGTGTGTGCATGTATTTATATACCTTTTAAATCCTTTTTTCCTAAGACTATTTATCTGGGAGGCCCAGGCCTTCTTTTGCCTTTTCAGGATAATTAATAGGACTTTTTTTTTTTTTTTAGAGACAGGATCTTGCTCTGTTGCCCAGACTGGAGTGCAGTGGTGTGATCTCAGCTCACTGCAGCCTCAAGCTCCTAGGCTCAAGGGATCTTCCTGCCTTAGCCTCCCAAAGTGCTGGGATTACAGAAGTGAGCTATCGTGCCTGGCTCACTGGCAGGTTTTGAAACATGCTTCTGCCTATTTATCTTCTGTTATCTTTGCAGTAAAAAGAAAAAACATGAATAAAAGGAGGGTGGAAAAGCACAAACATGCTCAACAGTCATTATCTGTGATGATCCAGAAAACCAGGGAAAAATTAGTAACAAGGGAGAATAATATGAAGAATAGAGACTTTGGGTGCTGAATGTAGCAAATTGTTCAATGGGAAAAGTAGGAGAAGCAATGAAAAGAAAGACAGGGTCAGCACTAGGAGGTCAGCCTTTTAGTACTTTTTTTCCTCCTTCACATTGGAAGCATAAATACAACTAAATAGTAGCTGGACTTTAAAAGGAGTTAAACTGAAATTAATTTGCAAGAGAAGGGAGGTAAGGGAGGAGAGAAGAGAGACATATCCCAAAGTTCTACCAACAGGTGAGTGGCTGGGTAAGCTGTGAGCTGTCTACTTGGTCACCGTATTACGTAGCAAGAAAAACGATGGTCATGAAGACAGGCAAACTGTTTTTGACATAATGTTAAGTGAGAAACAGTACACAGAATTTTATATATACTGCGTGCAATTATGATTTTTAGAAACATTAATTGACAATAAGGCTGGAAGTCTGTACACCAAAATTCTTATAATGGTTGCATTAAGGTGCTGAGATTAAAGGAGATTTAAAATTATTTTTCTCTGTTTTCCATATCTTATAATATGCTCATATGTTGTGCTAACAGAAATTAACTTTACTTTCAAGCTCCTTTTGAAATCACCTACTGAAAAAGGTGCTTGGCCTTGTGCGTGGGAAGCCACAGGGCCCCACAATAATATGCTGATTCCTCCAGTGGCTTCTTGCCCCACTCAACCCTTGCCACTACCTGCCTCGCATTGCTGCCTGGAACATTCTTCTTCCCGTTGGCCTCTTTGGTTGGCCCAAACTGTCCACTGACTAGAAGTATCAGCATTACCAGAGTTTCATTAAAGATGCAGACTTTTCAGGTCTAAGGAGAGCTCCAGAAGCAGAAGGGCATTTGAAGGAGATACTCTCGTGCACCTGGAATTTGGGAGGTGTCAGTGCCTCCACCCTAGGGCCCACGGGGGCAGGGAGCCTCACACACCATCTGTCTTAAAGGAAGATTTAATTGATCAAATGTTCTGGCTAATTACCTGTTAACAAGCATGCTATATAGGGAAAAACAAGTTCCCTTGTTAGAATAAACAGAATTGGGTCTATGGCCTGTACATTTCATCCCAGGCTGCCTCTAAATATGCCTCATTCATATCTCACATCCTCTTCTTGTTTAGCTGTCAAATCCTATTTTCTGCATGAAACATATGAACGACTATTACTAATCATGTTTGTTGTTGTGTTTTTTATATATATGCATATATATTGAACACTCTAAGTAACAACACAGACATGGCCAGATTTGTGGTATCATTTTTGAACTTGTTTCATGAAAAAGGATAATCTGGTAATCTTTTGAAAAATTGTCCTTTTTACTGGTCCTATTTTTTTTTTTTTAACAGAGAGTAGGAGACTCTAATACTTCATGAGAAATCTTTATTCATTATTTTGTTTGGCAAAAACATCTCCATGTTTACCTTTGTTGCAAGCCCAACGTTAAAAGATACATCTCTGTTCCAGAGAGATATACAGTTAAGAAATATACATTTTCACATTCTGCTTCTAATTCTCTTAATACAATGTTAAATCTAAAAAAGAGTTTATACACCATTTCAAATCCAAATCTTAAAAAGTCCTTCACAATCCAGCTGATTTGGACCCATTTCGGAGGCCCACCTGCCCCCACTTCTCCCCTCCATTTTCTTTTTTGCAAGCTTAATTTGCAATTCCCTAAAAGGCCCAGTTGCCTCAAGTTTGCATTCAGTGCGGATCAGGAGATCAACAACCCTTTATAATGATAATGTTCGAGGACGGGATTAACATACCTTTTGTAGGTAAACAATATCAGGACTCACTTTTCCTTTGTTGAGCATATTTGTTACAGTTCAGGATGCCTGATTTGAACAGAAGTTTACTAATTTCTGCAATCAGGTAGTTAACAGTGTCCCTTATGTTTTATGTCAAAATGAGTGTGGAGACGGCCACAGTTGTTCTGAGTTACCAGGTTGGACATAATAAATTTCGAGGCAGCGTCTCCACTGTGTTTCCTGTGTTATGTGGTGAGAATGTCATGAATTCGGTTCTCTCTTATCCTTATGCATTTACCACACTCAAAAACGCCGAACGTCAGCCCTAAAACTATGTTGTTTACACTCAAAAGCAATTTTGTTCCATGCTTGTAGCATTGTCTATACCTTCAGCAGGACCACGCCATAAATAAATATTTGCTGGTTTGTGTTGATCGAGTGGTTTAAGATAAATAAACAAGCGCAAATGCCTACTGCGGCCAGATAATGTAAACGAGAAAAGCAAGCAGCATAACAGGGAGTGTTGGAGAGCAGGAGCACCCAAGTTTCCTCCAAAGGGGATGGTTTGGACCAGACTTCCAGCCTACTCTGCACTTTTGGAAAATGGATCCCAGGTTGTCAGAGCTTCTGATTTTCCAAGAGATGTCGGAATTTTGGCTTTTAATGCAATCTCTCAGTTTTTAAATGTTGGAAATCAATTTAAATTTTCACAAGATATTTTTGTAGACCAATAGTGTGAACAAAACCAAACACTTAAAAAAAAAAAAAAAAAAAAAAAAACCCCAAACAAAAGAAAAAAAAAAAAAAAAAAAAAAAAAACAAAACCAAACACTTCTAGGGAGCCCGTGCAGCTGTAAGCAGCCAATTTACAACCTCTGAGTTAAACAGCACAGATAATATAGGAATACACATTTCTAATAAATTGTGATTGGTGGGAAAGCTAGAGTGGGTAAGAGCTCTTGTTCCCCGTGGGACTGCGTGTGAGTTCAGATGGAGAACTGCTCTCTGCCTATGTGAACTTAGATAATTTACTTACTCTCTATAAACCTAAGCTTTTGCACCTGTAAAGTGGCCGCTATGGTTAAGAATGCAAGCTTCCAAGGGTTGTTTTCAGGAGGGAATAAGAAGATGCAAGCTAAAGCCCTTCGCGTGCAGTGGGTCTCAATACCTGCTAACTATAACTAATTACTCCTCCTCAGAATACTACAATTATTCTCGGCTCCACTAAACATTGTGCAAATAATTAAATGTTTCCAGATATCTCAATCCCTCCTACAAAAGATTTGAACGTTTTCTGTAATAATGATCCAGTCGTTTTTGTGCTACTAACATCCAGAGAAAGCAATATCGGATATCTGGAGAGAATATGCTAACCAGCTCCCTCTCTCTGCCATCACCTAAAACACACACATCTTTCCAGCTCCGACACAAAGCTTAGCACCTGGGTTTCAGTTTGCGGTAACTTCCCAACAGTTCTGCCCTTTCAATTTGTTCTCAGGTACTGTCTCACATGGCCTCTGGGATCTCCTCTTCTACTATTAAAGGTCTCTTCCTTTACTCTTCTCCAAAAGTTCAGCAATTTTTTCTCTTTTTTTTTTTGAGACAGAGTTTCACTCTCTTGCCTGGGCTAGAGTGCCGTGGAGTCAGCCTCGCTCACAGCAACCTCAAACTCCTGGGCTCAAGCAATCCTCCTGCCTCAGCCTCCCCAGCAGGCATGCCCCATCATGCCCGGCTAATTTTTTTCTATTTTTGGTAGAGGCGGGGTCTCGCTCTTGCTCAGGCTGGTCTCATACTCCTAAGCTCAAAGGATCCTCCCGCCTTGGCCTCCCAGAGTGCTAGGATCACAGGCGTGAGCCACCGTGCCCAGCCCGGCTACTTTTCTTTTCGGAACTCGTCCCGGGCGTGTTTACAGAAGTCTCTAATTGCCAATTTATGATAAGGGCGAGGCGCCCGGTGGCTCCCCACCCCCACCTTTCCTCCTAGGAAAAGCCTACCCCCTCGCCACTCCTAGGCCCCGCCACCACTGCGGCTGACTCCACGTCCCAACCCCTTCCCCTCCCACCCCCGAAGTTTTAGGAAGTAATTTCGGACTGAGCAGGGTCTCGCCCGCCGAGCGCCCTGCGCCCCCCGCCGCGGGCCGGCGCCACCGCGGGTCGGGAGCGTGTCCCTGCGGTCGCGCGCGGCGGGGATTCCCCGCTGGCTCGGGTCCCGCGCGGCTCCCCGGCGGACGGGGCGGGGACGGGGCGGGCACCGGGCGGGCGCGGCAGCAAGCTTCCTCTACGTCACGGGGAAGTTCCTATAAAAGCAGAGCGCGGGCTGGGGCGCCGGGACTTTAGCGGTTCCCGCGGAAGGAGCTGGCGCGCTCGGGCGCTCCGTGCGTCTAGTGTCCCGGTCCCGCCGCCCCGACCCGCCGGTCTGCCCGCGTGCAGCGCGCCCCGCAGACGCCCGAGGTGCTCGGGTTGGGAGACTGAGACCCGGGGTCTGCAGCAGAGCTCGCGGTGGCACTTGCCAAGATGCCCGTGAAGAAGGCGCGCAAGAACGCGCAGCCGAGCCCGACGCGGACTCGGGCAGGTACTGGCCGGCTGGGGCCCGCGGGGGCCGGGGACTCGGTCTCCGTCTCGTCTCGGTCTGGCCGGGGCCCAGGCTGTATGGGGGCTCAAGGTCGGGCCAGGTGTGCGCCCTGGCGCGCGCCTTGGTGGCGCTTCCAGGAAGTTCTTCAGGGGGTTTTCCCAGGACCGCGGAGACGGCGAGGGAGGGAGCCCGGTGTGGCGTTGGGATGCAACTACAATTTTTAGCTCCTTCTCTGCTCTTCCCTCCTCCTTGCTTACCCTTCCCCGGGGCATGGGGGAAAACAAGTGCAAGTGTAGGCTGCGGCCCCGAGGAGAAAGTCGTTATCACGGCAGGTGGGACGGGAGAGGGCTCAGGAAGCCCCCGGACCCCCAGCGCTCCCGGAGACAGGCCCCGCAAGGACCCCTGTGTTCAGGAGCGTAGAAAGTCTTAATTGTTAAAGCTAGCATTTAACCCTGCTGATTTCGGGGGTTGGGGATAGAACAGGAGTTGTTCCCCCGTCATTTTTCATCCATCCGTTCCCCTCATCCACGTACAACTCCATCGTAACTTTTCAGATCAGCAACGCCCTTTTAGAAAATAGATCTTATCAAGGAAGGCAGTAAGGGCCTGGGCTCCAAATCAGTGTAGGTCATACTGCGATTGCATCAGATTATAGGCCCCCTCTTAAAGTTAGTTTCGTTTTAGGGAGCTCCTGCTAGGAGCAGGCTAGGTTAGCAACAGGCTGCTCTCTCGGGCTCTTGCCTGGGGTAGGAAAAAGCTTTGTCTACCTTTTGTGATGTCTAAGAGTTCTGACCGTGTTGCTGAAAGACCTAGCACCCTCCGGGCCTATGTTCTTGGTTCCCAAGAACAAGGGACAGCAGGAAGTGCCTCGCGTAACCTTGATTAGACATTAATGCATTTCTAAGTTGTGTAAATGCAACAGAAAGTTAAGGAAACAACTAGCAACTATTTTCTGCGCGCCCCACCATTGTGTAAAAGATAATTTTTCCAGTTAGAAGTCAGGGCTAACAAAATATGGAATACTGAATGATACTAGCTTTTTTCTTTTTTCTTTTTTTAAAGGATTGTAGGTTAATATATCCCACTCACTGAAAAGAACATGTCTTTGTAAATACTTCTCAAAATGTTTGATCCCGTAGCCCATAAAGAATAGCATCTTAGGAATTTATTAGGTCTTTTGGTGTAGGAGTTAGGGAAGATTTCACTCACCTCTTCCAGAGAGAAATTGGTTGAAATGTAGGCTTAAAATTTTTCTTTAGATTTTTGGGAGGCCGGTGGAGGGGGGGTGCTTGAGGTCAGGAGTTCCAGACCACCCTATGCAACATTAGCAAGAACCCCCAAAATAGAAAAATTAGCCAGGCATGGTATGGTAGAGCAGGCCTGTAGCTACTTGAGAGGCTGAGGCAGGAGGAGCTCTTGAGCTCAGGAATTTGAGGTTGCAATGAGCTATGATGACTCCACTACACTGTAGCGTGGGCTATAGAGGGACACCATATCTCAAAAAAAAAAAAAAAAATTTTTTTTTTGCTTTACTGTGTATTTATAGGTTTCATTTATTTTGAGCCTAAATATGGTCCTTTCATGGTTTGTTTACAAAATAGCTGGTTGGAGTGAAGTGGTATGTATAACTAATTGATCACAACCAGTTACAGATTCCTTTGTTCCTTCTCCAGTCCCACTGCTTCATTCACTTGATTTGCCTAAAAAAAAAACAAACAGATTTTAATTTGTCATCATAATGCTCTTTAATGTTTATTATCATGAAGTGGACCAAAAAGCCCTTAAGTTGCACTTTGAAATATTAAAAAATAATTGAAATTATAGTCAGTATAGATTTAGTGTTAGTTGATTTACTGAAAAGAGTTTACTTAGAAGTTGGATTACAGCATTTTTTTTAAAAACAATAATATTCAGTTAAGAGTACCTCAATTCTAAAAAGTACTAAATATGTGAAGTAAACTTTACTTTTTACTTCACATATTTGGATAAAGGCAATGGATTCCTACAGATTGGGTTTATAGGAAGAAGTTGGTTTACATTAAGATGTGAGTGTTTAGAGAATGTGGATTTAATTTCAGAATAAATTTTGAGGCTTTTGTGAGAAACTAATCAACGGATTTTTTTAATAAGGAAAAGAATAAATTTAGATTTGCCTGTTAATGCGAGAATAATCTAAGGTTTGAATTATTATTTAAAACCAACTCCTACTTAAAAACCACACATACTTAGAATTTGACTTCTGTTCCCTGGCTTTAAATAAGGGAGAAAAGGATGACATCACCTCAGGCAGGTAAAGGCTAACATTACTCTTTGTAGTATTTGACCCATGACATTTTCATATTTAGAAGTAAGGTAACACTTGCATCATCCAGGATTAGCAAAAAAAATACACGTTCTAAGTCTTTCTCATATTCGGGAAACAGATGCATAAAAAGCCAAAGTTAAGATAAATGCTTCCTGAGATGCTCAGCTTGTCACTTAGGTGGGTGTATTAACTCTTGATGCTTATTGCTGGAATATTGTCACTGTTAATTTTGGTGTTTTGCTTTCTTAGAGATCGAAGAAGAATGTGTTCTTCAACTCAGGAGAATCGGAGACAAACTGCATTTCCAGCAGAAACTACTGAATTTGATAGTCAAACTTTTCCGCTCAGGAACCTGACTGACTGCATCAAAAACTGCATTGAGGAGACTCCTTCAAAAGGGAAGTTTCCCAAAGTAGGTACAAATTTCATCAATTAGAAGACAGATCTCACTGTAATTGAAAGGAATGAGGAGGATTCATTTGCTTTTGGATGCTCTTGGAAATGGAAGATGGGAGTACATCAAAAATGAATTTCTGGTGGAGGTTTCCCAGCTGTCATTCTTTGGGATATGAGGACATTATAAAACCTTTGTTTATTTGAATGCAAGAATGGAAGAACCTTGAAAATAGGGGAGTAATTACTGATACATTTCTTTTATACTTATAGAGTTATTCTAGTATTTTTTCTGAAGGTTACTGCTCAACCTGGTGTAAAAGGAGTTGACAAATAAGATTAAGACTGGAAGAAACAGTTCAGTGTTGTTTTTGGTTTTTATATTTTTATTTTTTATTTTTTTGCTTTTCAATGTCAACTCCAGAGCAATGTTTATTGTTTAGTTTATTAATCTTGTTAAAAGAACAAATTTCATTCTGAGAACACTGAATGTCATAGTGAATGTTTATTTCATAGGTCACTACATAATGTAAAATAAGTTGATAATTTGTTACCTTTTATTCAAATTGTATTGCTTCTATTCCTATTCCCTTTCATTAATGTGTTCCTGGGAGCATCAATTGGAAAGTATGGAAAACTGGAAAATAACTTGGAAAAAATTGAATTTTATAGGAAGTAAAACTGTTGCAGATAGAACATTACATGGTAAAAGAGCATGTGGATTTTGTATAACCAGGGAAAATGAAAAAGATAATCATAGAAGTTGAGCTTTTAAGTGATGTAATTAAAACTTGGTAAGAAAATAAATGTGTTTCTAAAGAAGTTTCTAAAAATTTGTAAAATGCCCCTTTTCATATTAGTCTGTGCATCTCCTATGGAAAGTGATCTTTTAAAATAAAGAATATTTTCATAATTAGAATATACATTTCTTAAAAATGTGGGAAAGATATTTCTCATCCCAGAATGAAAATCCCATGTATACATACATGAATATATATGTACACACACATACATACGTAATATGGATATCCATACAGATAATTTGTATTACAGTATTATGTAGATTGTTAGAAGAGTTTCCTAAGTTTCATTTTTTTTAATATGGGCTATAATCAAAGTCCTCAAATACGTAAGAAATAATGTCATGATTGAATTTCAGCAGGAATAACTTTTATTTATTTTACATATTTATAATTAAAATATTTTTGTTTTGTTTGAACACGTATTGAGGTTGCATTTTTGAGTTATGACACAAAGGTTTTATAACTATTTGAATTTTTACAGTAAGAATATCTTAATATGGTCTGTGGTCACTTTTGATGGAAAATTACCTCACATTTGCTTCTTCAGTATTAAGGCTGTTTATTTAGTTGGAAAGATGTTTTTTTTCCTGCCTAGAGGTAGATATTTTGCCATATGGGTATTTATGGTCTGTAACTGTATTTAAATGTATATGCACATGTGAAAGTCGATATGTTGGCAGTATAAAACTATTAAAAGTTATCACCATTCTTTTCTGTGTGTTTTATTTTTTCATCATGTATTCTAAGTGTTCATCATTGAGCCAGAATATTTTAATTGATTTCCATCAGCAGATATCTCTTGACAGTGGTAGGGGTAAAAAATACAAGGCATTTGGCATGATTTCTGCTGTCACTTTGATTGGGAGGGGAAGCAGTGAAAGATAGGAAAAGAGTGCAGGGCATAGGTCTTGAGAGCTGCTCAGTGCCTCATATGAATGTCCCATTAGTAATTTATTTAAAGTAGCCTGTAAAGATTCATGATCTAATTAGAGGAATTTTGTGAGCCTGAGTCCTGGACTGCTCCTGGATCTGTCTACCAGGCAAGAGGAGCTGCTGCGCAGTTTCCTTTTAGATGACCTCACACTTCTCCCTTCCTTGCCCTCAGCCCTAGAGCTGCAAAGATTTCTTCATCCGAAGCTAGTCATGTACAAAAGTGGGCGTCACTCAACGGCTTTCCTGTCTGAGTGTGAGAACAAAGAGATATCCCTAGTTTGTGGCTTCAATCTGGGAGTCAGATCTTCACCCCATCCCTGCCCTCAAAAAGAGTCCCTTACATCATGGAATGTAAATTGCCTTCCTTAAATGGTAAGGGGGCGGGGAGAGGAAGAATTATGGAGGAAAAGGGGAACCAGAGAGCAAATGATGCCCAGCTAAGAAGATACATAACAATGCCCCAAAGGGGAAGATTGGAGGGGAGGTTGGCTTCAAAAAGGGTGTGGTCAATCTGCATGATTTGAGTTCAGGGCCCTTGGAAGAGTATCTCCTGACCCTCAGCTTCTTTGCATAGCCAGAATTATTTTGTTAAAAGTGCCCTGTAAGCTCCTCTTTTATATAAAGAGTAACATGTGAAGGCTTAAGCACAGATTCACAATCTTCAGATATAAGAACTATATTTTTTGAGAACCACATTTTAATGTTAAAAAATTTCCTAGATGTTCACATAATTGTATCTGTTGACTGACAAAAACGACTAGTATTTTTACTTGCATTTTATATTTGAAAGAAAACCCCAATAGTCTGTATATTTTAAAAGTATCCATCTCTCTGTGTGTGTATCAATGTATCTATCCATAATATGATAAGTTGTTCTTCAGTCTCTAAAGGCTCTGTGTGCTGTGATTTGGGATTTACAATCCATTGCAATAACCCTACAAACCCTTTTACTCCCCTCAATCAATCACTGGGCAAGAACCAAAGAAATGGTGAAAATCCTGTCAAACTCCTCAAACCTATGTGAGAGGGAACAATCCATTAGGAAGATAACTGACACCTTAAAGATGAGTGATGTGATGCAAAGAGCTCCCTTCTTTGGAATGTTGAAGCTGGAATCTCAAGGCAAAACCATGAATGAGCTGTGGGACTTTGGGCAAGGCAACTGCTGTGAGCCAGAATGATTCTGTTACCAGATTATGTTTGAAATCACTTGCAGTTTGAACCAGAAAATGGGATGGCAAAGGGGTCTGAAGAAGGTCTCCCACCAGAGTCCCAATCATACTAGCCCAGACTCCTGACTTCATTTCAAACAGTATAAGAGGGAACTGAAGGGTTTACTCAAAAAAGCAGGAGAGTGGGATTTTGAAAGACTATTTTGTTTGTTTTAAAATTTTTTTATTTGTATATATTGATGGGGCACAAATGCAATTTCGCTACATTCACATATTGCACTGTGATGAAGTCAGAGTCTTCAGTGCATCCATTATGGGAGCAACGAACATTGTATCTACCAAGCAACCTCCCATCATCTGCCCCCTCCTGCTTCCTAAGGAGTGGGATTTAAAAAGCAAAAAAAAAAAAATATATATATATATATATAAGCGGCGCAGTGGCCTCACGCCTGTAATCCCTAGCACTGGGAGGCCGAGGCAGGGATCGCTCCAAGGTCAGGAGTTCAAAACCAGCCTGAGCAAGAGGAAAACCCCATCTCTACTATAAAAATAGAAAGAAATTAATTGGCCAACTAAAAAGTATATATAGAGAAAAAATTAGCTGGGCATGGTGGCACATGCCTGTAGTCTCAGCTACTCTGGAGGCTGAGGCAGGAGGATCCCTTGAACCTAGGAGGTTGAGGTTGCTATGAGCTAGGCTGATGCCATGGCACTCTAGCCCAGGCAACAACAACAACAAAAAAGAAACTATTTTCTGAATTCTTCTCCCAAACATTGATTCTAGATCTTAGAGGAGGTCCAGTGAGAACTTCTCCGGCTTCTCTTAGAAATGAGAATTTGCCACGCGTGCGGCTTCCCCGAGGGTGGTGTCACTACCAGAGTTCCTTTTTGCAGGTAGCTGAAAATAGATGGGGTCACCTGACAGAACACACCCTGCTGTGTAATCATGCGACTATGCTCAAGTAATAGGTCAGGGTTAAAGAGCAAAGCATTTGCTAATACAGTGCTAATTTTAGTTTCTATTTTAAGAACTTTCAGAAATCAATTTAGCCATTTCAGAGTGAAACATTCACACTCACCTACAATTTCTTCCCTTATAGTCTTCTTCCTATAACGTTATTCTTCAAAACACCAGGGAAACAGGAAAGTTGATGAGTTATAGGTGGAGACTTTGGATTCTTTTACTCAGCAGGTTATTAACCACGTGCTCTGGGTCCCCCTACTCCCTATAAACACATTGATTGTGCTCAATGCTCTCTAGGTTTAGAAATTGCATGGTGTGAGGAGCCTGGGCTTGGCTTTGGATTGTGCAATAGAATAGAATAGAGTAGAACAGCATAGAATGTACAAATAACCCCTTGATATTCCTTGTGTTTTAGGAAAAGGCTTCTATTGTTTTTGCCATGCTCTCTCACCATGAGCTCTAGTAGAGCCTCTGAGAGTTGCCCATTTTCAACTTCACATAATTACTCAGCTATTTTCAAAAACACAGTGTTGCTGTCCCCACAATTGTCACTGCTTCTGGCTCTGGAATTAGCCGGTCATTTTGCCACTTACTCTTTGTGTGACTCTGGATAAATACTTGATCTCTTTTTTCTTATACAAGGGTGTACAAAACATCTATTTTAAACCATTGTGAAAATCAAATGAGATGAGAATGGGCACAATGTCTGGCTCATAGTTAATGCCTAGAAAATGTCAGTTAACTTTCCTGACAAGATGGAGGGCTAGAGACTAGTTTTCTCACAAAGCTATGGAAATCTTGTCCAATTAAGTTTGTTAGACTAACATGAAACTTTTGAAGGAAGGCAGTAGGGCAGTGCTGGAGCCGGAGGGGAAGTGGCAATTTTTACCTTGATGAGGCCATCTGCTTTTAATTTGTGAACTCTTCCTGATGGTAAACCACTTATTTTCACCCTGTATACAACAGGTTTCCCGAATGCTATTTAACTGCCCTGAAGCCCCTTGCCATGTATGACTATAAAGTTTCTGTCTAGTTATTTTGGATTTGGGTAAGGCTAAATTTGGGTAAGGCAATGTTTCAGTGAAAAATCTTGAAGGGCTCTCCCCTGAGATGAGACTGTGAAAATTTGTTAACTTGGAAGATAGACAGCAAGTCCCAGCTGCTTTTGTTTTTGGGTTTAGGGAGCCCAAATTGCATTCATCCACAGTGTCAATACTGCTACTTTGAGTCTGTATTCATAATGAGCAAAACTTCCACAAAATAACTACTGCTTACTGATCACCCATGATGTGCCAGGTACTTTGGAAACATAATTGTGTTAGGCCGGGCTGGTGGCTCACGCCTGTAATCCTGGTACTTGGAGGCTGAGGCAGGAGGATCACTTGAGCCCAGGAGTTTGAGATTGCAGTGAGCTATGATGATGCCACTCTTTACATTGGGCAACAGAGTGACACTCTGTCTCAAAAAAAGAAACATAATTTTATTGTTTCACCTAATGCTCAGAACACTCCTATTCAGAAGGTATCATTATCTTTTTCATTTTGCAGTTGGGGAAGCAGGGTCCTCTGAACCAGCAATGTCCCCCAAATCAACTGACAAATGAGGGTAAGTCACAGGATTTGAACTTGGGCCTTTTTGACCTCAAAATGGTTTTCTCTTTGCTACCACAATACAATTGCCTCCCAGCATGGGGTTGGGAGAAGGGTTCTCACCCCAGAGCAAAGCTAATTTGTTTCCAGTCCAGAGCCTCATTAAATATAGCCAAGTTTTACAGGACTGGGATTTCTGAGGGTGGAAGGTTGATGAGTAAGCCACCTGATAAGTGAAAAAAAAAAATATTGATAATTGCAGCAATGGCATTCACCTAGCATAGGGGCTTTCCCATCTCTAGCAATAAGCTGACTGACTTTGGTAAACTGCCTCAGGTCATTCCAAGAAGCTAGGGTGAGCCAGACAGGGAAGGTAATCCTGGGCATCCCATCCCCAGGATTTTGGGGTGGAGGAGAATAGAATTAAATCTGAAATAAACACCATTCATAGGCTCGCTTTTTTACCAGCTAAAGCCAAAACAGCACCTACTAAGACCTGCGGGAGTTATCTGTAAACGAGGGGAGAGTGGAGGGAAAGAGAGTAAAAGAAGCTTGTCAAAACAGCAACATGTGTGCTTTTTGGCTGCCCTGCCATATTCCAGGAAGTCCAGGCAGAAGTTAGGAAGGAAGAAATTGTTGTCACCATTTAAAAAACAAACAAACAAACAAACAAATGGAACATCTAAATTAACCAGTCTGTGCTTTTGATGATTCATTTTGAACAACTGTTGAGGACTGGGCAAAAATCAACAAGTGGTCATAGTATGAAGGCCTTCGGTTTCACAATGGTTACTTTCCAGTAAGAGGTTCCTAGATGAAACACACATTTACCGGAAAAACATTCCCCTTTTCCCATCTGAAAAAAATGACACATACAACACAATATAGTACCAGCAACTAAAGTGAGAAAAATGCTCCTTTATGCCTTTTGACATTTTTTGCTAATGTCACATTAAAATGAGGTTTCTGAGAATCAGCAAATCAACAGTAAAGCTTTAACTTTCAAAATGTAGTTATATGCGGCACTATTCACAATAGCAAAGGTATGGAA